AGGTTAAGCGTGCTTGGCCTGGAGCGATGGGTGACCGATCGGGAAGTTCTTCCCGGAGGCGCATGAGTGTGACAAAAAGCGAAAAAAGTTGTGTTGGTCCGTGAGGCGATCTATGTCCTAGGAAAGCTATCAGATGTAAGCGGGCCTGACCTCGAGGAGGCGGGACGTTACAGTGTGAAGATGTATTTATATTTAATACAAATCGTCCCGATCGGGAAGTTCTTCCCGGGGGCGCATGAGTAAGGACAAAGTGCGCAGAAAAGACTGGTGTTGGTCTGTGAGGGCAGTCTATGTCCTAGGAAAGCTATCAAATATAAGCGGGTCTGGCCTCGAGGAGGCGGAACGTTACAGTGTGAAGATGTATTTATATTTAATACAAATCGTCCGACCAGTTAGTGTGTAGCTGAATCTACAGCCCTAGCTAGCCTGTTAACCATAATGCGGAGCGCGGAGCCCGTGTGCGTGTAGGAAGAACAAAGCGTCGCTAAGGAGCCGCTGCCGACCACCCATAACGCAGAGGGCAAACGCTCGTGCACGTGTAGGGAGGAGCTAGAGATAGGGCCGTCTCTGGGACATCCGAGCATCAACATGACTGTTCGGAGGTTCAAAAAATCGTTTGGAGAGCAAACATAAAGAAAACAGCTCGGAGAAATATTATGGCGATATACGGAGATTGGAGAATATTTAGAAAATATTAAAGCGTGACTTAGCTTTAGACAGAACGTCTGATCGGCGGCGTATGGCGTTATCTGGTCGGCGCTGATGAAGTTGCCCGGCCCTCGAGCTTTTCGGCCTGCCGTCGTGGCGACGATCATCATTGCGACACGGCGAGTGGTCGAGTAAGTAGTCCAGGCGACGTCGTCCTTATATTACTGGTCGAGCCTTAGGCGGGATCAGAATCGGGGAGATCTTTGACTGGTCGGAGAACGATGTTGTACGGCGGAGTAGATGGGATTGCTTCGCGAATAGGACGAGGTGGTCGAACTTGTCAGGTGGAGTTGGTAGAGGCTAGTACGTTCTTCAGGCTTGTCCAGCGAGTCGCCGCCGCCGCGCAAAAAAAACCGCGTACATACTATCGTGGGACGTCAAATCCTTGCCGGCCGTAGGTGTATATGCATGTACTGCTGCTCCACGTGAGATGCATCTCGATTATTATTTGTCTCTGGATCTTGTTAGTTGGTGCACGTGTGGTGCCGCCGAGTATTCCCAACTCCGCAGCCTGGGGCCACGGTTGACGACGCATCGAGCCCAATGTAGATCGTCAAGGAGAATAGGAGCGCTATGTCTTGCCGCCGATGTCAAGCCTGATTAATCGGGTTGCAAGTGGATGCAGAGCCGTGTGCGCCGAATAGGACCCGCCGCTTGACTCCACGTATCGAAACTTGCTGCCGCGAATTCGCAACAAGTTGCCCGTGACGTCAGGTCGCCATGGATGATGTTGATTTTGAGATCCATCTGGCTCCCCATGGGATCAACGCGCACATCCCTACCTGGCGCTCGCCAACTGTCGACAAAAGATGCTCGGCAGTTCTCCGATGGGTATCCCACGAAGGTAGATTGATCGGTGGAGAGTGTGCGTGATAAGGAACCGGATGGTGACACAAGGCGCAGAGACAGCGATTTAGATAGGTTCGGACGTCGATCGACATAATACCCTACGTCCTGTGTCTTTGGTGTATTGTATTGAGATGTATATCAGATTCGATATCCACTATGGGACCTTTGTCTCTCCTTATATACTCTGGAGGGATAGGGTTATTAGGAAAGTATTCTATTTAGTACTATACAATATCTTGCGGTGCACGTCGATCAGTGCCGTGCACGTCTTGATCTTGTGGGCTGGACCACCTCTGAGAGTGCGGCTCATGTCTTGTCTTTGGGATATCGGGGGCCATACCCCCATTATATAAGATAGACAAAAATAGTTCATAAAAAATTATTATTATCAATAAATATTTGATAACTAAATATATCAATTAATTAATCAATATTTATATAATATTTTATCATAAAATTATAAATTATATAAATTGTACAAAATAATTTACATCAGTAAAAAATAAAGTTTTAAAATAATTTACAACAATAAATATATTAGGTTTTAACTAAATTAGAAAGCACTAAAATTTGTTTGATCTTTGTGTATCATTAATAAATAGTTTTAATTCATTATTAGTAATATTAAAATTATATAAATAGTCACTACTCATCATGGAGAGAAATTTTTATGAAATTGATTTAGTGTACCTTGTTTTTGGTGAATACAGATACAGAAATATACTGAAAAACGAATCTGGATACATTTATTTAGTATCCACATTAAAAACGTATACCAGTACAAATATCCATAATATAAATTTTGACACATACAGATTCGGATAATTCAGATTTCCAGACATTCTATTTTCATCCCTAACCGCACCACGCACGTTCCGACGTTCGCACCCGTCTGGGAGGAGCTTGGCCCAGAGACAGTTGTCGCCCAGGGAAAGACCCAGGCCCGGCTCCGATCATCAACACCAGCTGACCAGCGTCCCCGTCTACTCTCTTGGCGTCAGAGTTCCTCAGCTGCTTGATTGGTGTTTCCTGGTTTCACGAACGCCGGATTCAGATTAGGAGGCGGCTGAGATTCAGCGCAACTCCTGCTGCGGAACCGGGCGAGCGTGGGGGAAGTCCGCTGAAAACAAGCGGGGAAAGGGCCTTGGTGCCCAGGATGGCGAGCGATTCCGCCTCACCTCCTCATCCGACCGACAATTGTGGGATTGAGTCCTCAGCAAAATGGAGGACCGACAATTGCGGGGATAGAGGCCTCAGCAAAACGGAGGAGGTGACGAGGTTCTTAGTCGAATTTAGCCGATATCTAACTAACCTGAGTAAGATAAAAGAGCTGTAGGAGATGCGGTTGGTGCAATATCAAAGGATTTTGGGTTTTTGGCCAGTACCAAGACGAAAGGGTGATGTTCATAGACAAGTCATAGTGCTGCTATGGTGGTCTGAAAGATGTGCAGTTAGAGAAGGCGAGACGCCTAGAAGCTATCTGCCTTTGGCACAGCTGATCCGTTCGTATGCTGATGAATGTTCCTCTCTGAATCAGTCGACTCCGGTGATAGTTATGCCACGGCAGCCGGGCCTGTTCACTTGAACTTATCAGCCGACTTATCAGATAGAATCTATAGTATTTTTCTCTCATAACAAAACAACTTTAACCGGATTATCAGCCGGCTTTAATACCAGCCGTGCGATGGAAGCGTCCACCTGCTGGGTTCATCAAAGCCAATTGCGATGGTGCCTTCAGTCCAGAGTCGTGTTCCGGGGGCTGGGGTTTTGTGTTGCGAGATGAAGACGGAAGAGTGATAAGTTCTGGTTATGGCAAATTGGAGACTGTCCTTGAGCCGCTGCGTGCGGAGATTATAGCTTGTCTCCAGGCGTTACAACGAGCAGCTGAGCGGCGTTCAGAGACTGATCCTGGCGACGGATGCAATAGCAGGGCTACAAGCAGCTACTTCTTTGTCCCTGGACCGTAGCTCAGCGTGTGGCTTGATCTGGTAGCTTATAAGATCTTTTAGTTTCTAATTTTGTATCAAGTACGGTCTCTCATGATCATCGACTTTGTAATTCTGTAGCGCATGGTCTTGCTAGTTTAGGGGCTGGTATGGTTTCTGGCCCGACCTCGGTTAGGGATGTTATGCCCTCTTTGTATCCAGGTCCTGGTCGCCAATGGTTTGGCGCCGTCTGATGAGTAATGAAGTTTTCTGTTCAAAAAAAAATAAAATAAAATAAAATAAAAAGACGAAAGGAACGACCAGAATGATCAGTGGAATGACCAGGTATGTAGAACCTAGTTCGACCAGGTACGGAGAAACTAGTTTGGGTGCCCGTACTTGATATATATACGGCTATTTTGGGAGGTACAAAATACTGAGAAGTTGGGGAAACGGGTACTACCAAGCAGCTAATTGATGTTCTGAAAATAAATACAGCTTAATTAGTAAACGCCACTTAAATTTGATCAACTAGAGAATGACCAATGAATTAGAAGAACATATTAATTGATAGAATTACTTGAATGAAAACAATCATCATGCCTATCACAAGAAACTTTGAAACTGAAAATTTAAGTACCAATAGAGAAACTGACAAAAACATGGTTGTTAACACCCCACCACCAATACAGTGCAGATCACCAATACAGTGCGGGCGATCACAGTTAAAACATAGCTTATAAACTGTTTATAACCAAAATAAATTGAAACTAGAGGCCAAACAACGCATTGAGCCTTTTGTAGCCATGCTTCTCCCTATAACTCTCATTTTATACTAAAACACAGAAACTAAATCAGACCAACTTATTATGACCGTAGTTTTTCTCCATTTGTGCAGCTTATCATGGAAGCGTTTATTAGGAAAACTAACAATCAGGGCCACAAAGAGAAGGGACATATATGGTAATTGTAATGAGCCAGTTCAGACCTTCTCCTGCCCCGCTATCAGAATGATCAACGAGTAAAGGAGTAACAAACAGCATAAGAGTACTGTTCAAGAGTAAAGACAGTCGCTGTGCTCAGGTAAAGACAGGGTGACAGCATCATCAACAGAAATTATAAAATTGAAAATTTAGAACTTATGAAGTGCTGTGATGGGCAACAAGTTGACAAGGAAACAACAGATCACCCGCTGCATAGAAAATCATTTTAATGTAAACGTTTTTTTAATAAATATTTAATGTAAAGCTGGGCATGGTTGTAACACCTCCAACACACAGTATAAGGGTTGAAATAAAGTTGATTCCAACAAACAGCAGAGTTCAAAACTTAAGCAGTACCACCAAAATTCTAACTTATAGCAGTAATAACTGCGAAAAATAACATATATGATAACTGACAGGCGCATCTCAGACCTATGACCTGAAGGGGCAGGCAGGCCAACCCATCTCAGTCAGCAATGCAGAAACAAATAGTAGACAGTATTGCTCATTCCACCATTCCAGCATGAGTGTTGCCTTATACAGCTTCTTCCCCATCATCATCCTCATCATCACCAAGGGTCAAGTCCTCAATCAACTCCTCAATTGGCACCGTAGGGATATCATCACCAACTGTTGATGCCATCTCAGACCTATAGTCCTCATTCTTGTACAGATCCATCTTGAACCTCATCTCAGGGTCCAGCTCCAAATCCCTGAGGAAAGCCTCATACTCATCTAGCCTCTTCTCTTCCTCACCCTTGGCCTTGTTAGCAGCATCTTCCTCCACCGGCAACCTCTTAAGCTTCCATCTCCGTGTGCGAGGCCTCTTCTCATAGCTCTTCTTGACAAGAACCACCTCAGGTAAGCTGTACCGGGTCATAGCTGTGTCCATGTCATCATCATTCAGGTTGGCACCATAGAGATCATACCCAAGGGCATGATCCCCGGGGTTCAGCAGGTGCCCAAGATGCGTCCTCACAGTAAAGATGGTGTCATTTTTCCCGAAATCTGACACCCGGGCAACCTGCGCATAAGCCAATTGGTAACGAGACCCATCAATGGAAATTTCAGGCGATTCTTGTTCGATGTCGAGCACAATGTACTCCACGAGCTGCTTGCTGGTGAGAGCTGCCTTGAAATTATACACCCTGTATTTTTTCTCCTCCAGGTGGTGCACTCGCAACGTGAGGGGATCAAGAAGAGCAATGGCATTTGTGACCTTGACACAGAGCACGAGCGGGCCTAGGCCACCCATGTCCCGGGACGCCTGGCGGCTGAGCGCGATGAGGTCCTCGCGGCAGATGGGGCAGATCTCGACCGAAAAGGTGTACTTGTAGTTGTAGACGCTGCTCTTGGTGTCGTGCGAGACGAGCTGCTTCGCTGTAGAAGTTTGGATAGGAGCGACGGTGGCGAGGAAGTCGACCAGGCGGGCGGCATGGGAGCGTGAACCGAAGAAGAAGTCGAGGCCGCTGGGGGCCGCCGCGACTCGGATCGCGAGGGAAGCTTGACCGTGCTTGAGGAGGAGCTGCTCGAGGTAGAGGAAGGTGCGGCGGTGGGGCACGTGCTGGCGGAGCTGGACGACGGCGACCCACTGGTCGGGGTTGGCCTGCGCGCGGGAGCAGGAGTCGCAGAGTCGGTCGTGGACGACGAACTCGACGGGATGCGTCTGCTCGAGGACGATGCCGTGGAGCACCTCGCGGCGGAGGCGGAGCTTGAGGCGGAGGCGCTTGGAGTGCGGCTCGGAGAAGACGAACTCGGCGCCGGAGAGGGAGACGCGGAGCCGCGCGAGCGGGCGGTTGATTCGGCGGAGCAGGATCTGCATGAGCTCGGGCGACTCGGGCGTGGCGCGGAGCCAGGACCGCGGCGGCTGGAGGTAGGAGGAGCAGTCGGGGCAGTAGACCACGGCGGCGTGGCGCGGGACGCCCTCGGTGATGTCGACGCGCGCGCGCAGGCAGCGCGCGCACATGTTGGCCGGATTGGGCTGCATGGACACGCCGCACATGCAGCAGAGCACCGTGCCCGCCGTCGCCGCCGGCACGAACATACCGGTGCCGCCGGCCGCCGGCGCCGATCCGGGCAGCATCCTGATTACGATTTAATCAACAGGGGATCGGGATGGAGGCGCAGGAAACTACCTAGCGACGAGGGATTAGAGGAATTGGAGGAGAATTGTCCTAGGGTTTTGTAATCGCAGGGGAAGGAGGCGGCGGCGGGGAGGCGGCAGAGGTGGTGACGAATGCGGTGACGTAGTGTCCACGGCCGAGTGGGCTTTTCGGTTAAGGAATTGCGAGGCCTCCTGGAATCCTGATGCTATATGGGCTTTTAGACCATGTCGGCTCATGGGCCGTCAAATCTATGCTACCGCCAGTGGAATGGAACGGAGCTGCGAACGAATAAACCATTGTATAGTGATTTGCAGAATGCCGTTGTTCAAAAAGTTTTTGCCTTAGTTAAAAAAATGTTTTCCTTCCTTCTTTTTTAAAACGGAAATTCTCCGGTAAAAGCGTCCGTCCACGCATATCCGTCCGTACGCCCGTTCTCATGCCTGCGCAGCCATCGGGCCCAACAGGCCTATTCTGCTCTACCTTTAAGTGTATCATGGTTTCTCGAAAAGACAGCGATATTTTCTTCCCCCACTGACTCATGCTACCGCCACTTGCGCATACACTGCGTTGCTCACCTTCTCCGGCGTGGGTGCGCCGCACCCAGCCCCCATCCCGCGCTCCTCCGCACCCCACGCCGCACCCCTATCCACCTCACGCCGTCGCAGCCATGGCATGCACTACGGCTGGACGAAGACACCGTGGTAGGAAGAGGAGGCATGTGCCTGTGCCTGGGGATGCCCCCCCTGACCCGAGTTTGTTGGCTACCGCAGTGACCCCAATAGGTAGGCAGTGTGAAAGCTCTAGTTTAGTTTTGATGAATTGATGAAACCCTAAGTGCTAACCTAGTTTATCAAAGTGATCATAAGATATGTAGCACTATTCCAAATTATGGAGCAATAGTGAAGATCATGATGATGGTGTGGTGACCATGATGGTCAAGTACTTGGACTTGAAAAAGAAGAAAGAGAAAAACATAAAGCTCAAGGCAAAGGTGAAACTTAATAAGAGTTTTTTTGGTTTTTGTGATCGAGGCACTTAGCGAGTGTGATCACATTTAGGATAGATGGCCGTACTATTAAGAGAGGATCTGTTATCAGACAACTCGATCATCTAGTGCCACTAGGTGTTGGAAAACATGCATATGCATTTTAGGCCTAGTGCACAATCGATGAGAAGTGTTTAACCTTTGAAAAAATGATTGTGAAAATGCTAACACACTTACACATGATGGTGAAACATTTGGAGTGTTAGCACATTTACAAAGGTGGTGAGAAAGGTGAAGAAACGGAGGCGAAACTCAGCTTCGGGTGCTGCCACTGGGGCACACCACCCCTGTAGCGGTGACCGGCTAGGAGGCCAAGAGCAGCGGGTTGCCCTGTGAGGCACCACCACCCTATCCGGTGGCACCGCTACCCATAGGGCGGTGCCCACCTGGACTCTAGCCGTGAGCAACAGTGGAGGCGCGGGCACTGGTGCGTCCGGTGTTCACCGCCATGGAGAGGGCGGTGCACCGCCTGGTCACTGTCGTTGGTGGGGCGGTGACACCGCCTCTTTTATCCATAGAGCAAGGGAAGGGCTGCTAGGCACCGCCGCGGGCACTGCCATCCTGATGGCAGTGCACCACCATTTTTATCCAGAGAAGGGGGTTTCTCGAGCAGCGGCTGGGTGCTCACCGCCACCCTAGGGGTGGTGCCACCACCACCTGTCTGGTGCCCCAATGGCTAGTGATGACCATTGGAGGGGCACTGCCACCCCATGTCCGGTGCCACACCGACATGTCCAGTGACCCCGTAGAAGTTGACTCAAAGGGGTAACGGCTTAATTTACTTGTGGGCTTATAAATAGAGCTAATGGGCGGCCTTGGCGACCCTCCTGGCACTTCTAACAGTTGTATACACCCCTTTAAGAGCTGAGCACGCCACTCCACTCACTTGCACACTTGATTTTATCATCTTGAGTGAGATTGGAGAGTCTCTAGTGCATTGCTTAGTGTTCTAGCATCTTGTGGCACTAGTTGGGTGATTTGGACTGGTGTAGTTCTTGTTACTTTTGGTGTTTGCCGACACCTAGATGGTCCGGTCATTGGTGGATCGTTGAGCGGCTATTAGTGATTGTTGCCGGCTCCAAATGTCGACATTATGAGGTGTTCTTGTGCCTTCCCCGTGGGAGATCACGAAAGGTAACTCTAGTGGATTGCGTGTGGCTTGTGTGATCCTCATCTTGTGTTGGTTGTGCGGCACCCTATTGAGGGTTTGGCATGTGATGCCAATTAGCGCGTGAACCTCCAAGTGAGTGAATCGCCACAACGAGGACTAGCTTGCCGGGAAGCAAGTGAACCTTGGTAAAAAACATTGTGTCATCATTTGATTATGAGGTGTTTGGTCTTTATTGGTATTCATTCTTGTGATTGATTGGCTCCTTTGGTGATTGGCTCATTCCTCTACACGGCGGTATAACACTCCATCCTTCCTGCGCATTTACATTTCTTAGTGTAGCTTGGCCCTTTAGTGTAGCAAGTTTTGAGGGTAAGTAAGAGTTGTGTCTAGTGGTTAGTGAGGATCTTTAGTTAGTCTTTGAGAGCTCACTAATTTAGTGTAGTGAAATAGCATTTGAGTGCTTATAGACAATACCAACTAGAATTGTGGTAGGTGGCTTGCATTCTTAGTAGGCTAGCACAACATTCGCTTCACATCATATTTGTCTAACTGCTTTGCGTAGTGTTGTTGTAGAAATTTTTATAGGCTATTCACCCCCCTCTAGCCATTAGGACCTTTCAAGTGTGGAAGCAAGGATCATCTTGTTGCTCAATGCCCATACAATAGCGACAATGATGATGATGATAAGAAGATCAAGAAGGAAAAGAAAGAAAAAAAGGACAAGATGACCTTCAAGAAGAAGAATGGTGGTTCATATGCGGTCACTTGGGATAGTGATACTTCCTCAAGTGATAATGATGAAAGTGATGATGACAAGACCACCAAGAAGAAGGCTCTTGCAAGCATTGCCATAAATGAGAAGTCTTCTCTCTTCGACACTCCATCATGCTTCATGGCTAAGGCCACAAAGGTATAAACTTGTGATGATAGATGTGATGAGGAACATGATAATGAGAGTGAAAGTGACAATGATGATGAACCCACTAAAAATGAATTAATTGACATGTTAGAAGATGCTAAAGAACATTTTGACATTAAGAGAAGAGAATACAAAGACTTGCGAAAGAAACTAAAAACCCTTAAGCAAGCCTTTGATGAGCTCAATGCATCTCATAAGAGGCTAGAGGAAGCCCATGAGAAGCTTGGCAAGGCTCACAATAAGCTTGAAAAAGCTCATTCCTCTCTACTTAATGAGCAAAATGAGAAGGAGCATGTTGTAACATGTGACAAAGGCTTAACTTGTGATATAATTGATGAATCATTCTATAAGCCTATTATTGTTGCTCCTACTAACCCTTCTTGTAGCACATCCACTTCTAACTCATCTAGTAGTGATGATTTTACTTGTGATGCCTCACTAATGGTTGAGAATGAGACACTCAAGAATGAGGTAAAAGAGCTCAATCACACCTTGGCTAAGGCCTATGGTGGTGAGGACCGCTTGCTTATGTGCTTGGGTAGCCAAAGAGCTTCTCTCTACAAAGAGGGATTGGGTTATACCACCAAAAATGGCAAGGCGGTCTTTGCTCCTCACAAGACTAGTTTTGTGAAGAACAATGGTCGATTTTTCACTAGTTGCAAGCAAGTTGGTCATGTAGAGCAAAAGTGCATGAAAAAAAAGTTTCAAGTCAATGTATCATCAATTAAGTTTGATTCTTTCTATGTGCTTACTAAGAGTACTAATGGTGTGAAAGCTAAGTTCATTGGTGCACCATGGATAGGCTCAAAGAAAAAAGTCATTTGAGTGTCAAAGAGCTTAGTAACTAACCTTTAAGGGACCAAGCAAGTTTGGATACCTAAAGAGGATTGATCTTTTTTTAGGTCAATTACAAAGCTGGAGGAAGGCATTGGGTTCTTGATAGTGGGTGCACTCAACACTTGACCGATAATGCAAGAATGTTCAACTCAATCAATACCAATGGCAATGATGGTTATGATAGTATCACATTTTATGACAATGGCAAAGGCAAGGTCAAAGGGCTTGGTAAGATTGCAATATCCAATGACATGAGCATTTTAAATGTGTTGCTAGTTGAGAGCTTGAACTTTAATTTACTATCCGTGGCTCAATTATGTGGTCTTGGATTCAAATGCATATTTAGGGTAGATGATGTAGAGATCATAAGTATAGATGGCTCTAACTTGATCTTTAAAGGCTTTAGATATGAGAATCTATACTTGGTTGATTTCAATGTTAGTGAAGCTCAATTATCTACATGCTTGTTCGCTAAGTCTAGTATGGGTTGGTTATGACATAGAAGGCTTGGTCATGTTGGAATAAAACAATTAAATAGATTGGTTAAGCATGACTTGGTTAGAGACTTGAAAGATGTTGTGTTTGAGAAGGATAAGCTTTGTAGCTCTTATCAAGCTGACAAACAAGTTAGAAACACCTATACTAAGAAAAGCATAATGAGCACTAGCAATGCATTTGAGTTATTGTATATGAATTTATTTGGGCCAACACAATACACTAGCATCGGTGGAAATAAATATGGCTTTGTGATAGTGGAGGACTATACAAGATACACTTGGGTATTTTTTCTAGTGTACAAGAGTGATGTGTTTGCAACATTCAAATCATTTGTTAAGGGCATACACAATGAGTTTGAAACAACCATCAAGAGAGTTAGAAGTGACAATGGTAGTGAGTTTAAGAACACAAGAATTGATGAGTTGTGTGATGATTTTAGAATTAGACATCAATTCTTGGCCAAGTACACTCCACAATTAAATACCCTTGTTTAGAGGAAAAATAGAACCTTGATTAATATGGAAAGATCAATGTTGAGTGAGTACAATGTGAGTCAATCCTTTTGGGC